AGCTCAGAGTCCTTGACATTTTTATCCTGGAACTATGGCAACATGGTTCGTGGTCAGAAGTACACCACACCAAGGTTTCTCCAAGGACTTGATAGTGCAATGAGGCCACGCAAACAGAGCGCCATGTCACTTCAGAATGAGCAATTTGAGAACAACCTTTTCTTCAACATGCTCTTCTTTTTACGTGCACATGTCGTGATTCTCCAGGAAGCTCATCTTCTTGTTCCTGCCAAGGAATTTATTGAGCAAAAGAATTGGACAGTTTGTTTCAATGATTGGGAGAATCTTGCAGTGATGGCTAGATTGGCACCAGGTGGATATGTCAAGATCATTGCTGGACATGATCAAGAACTTGGTCACTGTGAACAGCGTGATGTAACTTGGGCTATCTATGAGATTTGTTTTGGAGAAACAAGGCCTCGTCAAGATTTCAAGGATGCAGACTTTGAATTTGATGACTATGGTCCTGAGGACAAGCGTGTTCCACTTACTCGAGCGAACATGCATACCATCAGAGTCTGTAATTATCATGTTGATACACACCGTGCTGTGGATGCCCACCTACTGACAGGAGAACAAACAGCATTGATGCTTTACGAGTGTTTTGTCTATGAGGTGGACATCATTTCTGGTGATGCAAATAGTTTGGCCTACAGAATGTCTGGGTACAAAAGGCAGCCAATGGCTAACTACTATTACAGCACCATGCAGCATTGGATCCGCAGGTTTTCAGAAGCTCGTGTACAAGCAGATCCTGGTATCAAGGCACCTATTCCCAGAACTTTTTACAGTTCAACTTCACAGGTCCTCAAGAAGTGTGAAGATTACTTTGACAAACTCTGGGAAGAATACTCTACTGTTGAAAAGGAAGAATACCAAGGATCAAGGCTTGGCGATACATGTTTGTCTACCATTGTTGAATGGGGTCATTCAATGAGTGAAGAGGAATATGAAAATTCCACAGTGAGCACGAAGGAGTTCATCTGTAATTTTTCAGAGAACTTTGCTATGATTGACACAGAGGTTATGTGCTCAAGGCCCACTGACGAGGATAGTCATGGTCCAATGTTTATTTCACTCAGACCAGCTTCCCTTTCATCTGGAGACAGAAGACAGTATCGCACAGCAGCAACGCTTCAAGAAGCGAACGTGCGGAGGAAGGAGAGACAAAAGCAGAATAGAAAGAAAGGAAGGCCGCCAACTTCTGATCAAGCTACTTCATCGTTTGCAGCGGCATAATTCCTGAGCGAAGGCTGAAATCTAAATGATGGCTAGGAAGTGAAGATACTTCTGATTACAGTTGATACTTTGCTTCCAGGCTTGAATTTAAGTTGCCATGCTGAAGTTTTAATAAATTCTGGTTTGCAATAAGGAGAAACTTTTTATCAAAGAAGATACTCCTGCATTCCAGGTTTATATGCTTTAGCATGTAGATAGGTATGGACAGTTTTACATAACTGATGATATCTATCACAGTCGCTCTTATGAAGTGACCTCTAATGGACAACCAGTCATGGTTGATGATTAAGTCATTTCATGATTTGCAATTGTAGTGCAAAAAATTTTTTGTACATACATTTGCCGGTATCTCCTTCTTGTGTTTTTGATGTGAATGTGAAAGAGAGTCCTTTTGATGCAGTTTATTTTGTCTGTGAATGAAAGCGGTCGAGACCACGTCACGAGAAGATTATTCCTCGAACCGTACGCTCCTTGCATTTTGCAAGGCATCTTAATTCATTGCATTGTGCGGTCTTGAATTTTTAGTTCCTTGTTACGCGAGTGTCGTTTAATTCTTTTATAGGTCTCTGTGTAAGAAGCCGCTTTCCCTTTTAGTTTGTTTTAGCTCAGGCCCTAAAGAGCTAGTGAGCGCCGGTACATGGTATCTTCGCCAGCGAAAAGTACAGTCTCCAGCCGAGGTACATTATCGTTTTGATTTTGTACTTGAGGTGAGTCAGCTATTGCTCCCTCACTGTATTTAGTAGCTATGAGATTACCTTCTCTGAAGTGTGAAACACACCGGATTAGGTAAGTACATGGCACCGTAGTTTTCTTTTAAGTTGTCAGAGCTAGCTGGACTGTTTTAGCCTTGCAGTAGAAAAAGAGTATGCGACATACGCAATCAGCTAGAAGTGGACATGAATCTTGTGCCTGCTGAAAAGTAGAGCCTACCTGTACAGGGTTCCACTCCAACAGCTGATATAGTGTGTCCATGCTTGACTGCTTCAAGGCTCAAGAGAGGGTCAATGGACCTAAGGATAAGACTCTGCGAGAGCAAAAGACACTAGCGGTCTGCACCTCTACCGTGTACGCCCTAGTCACTCTTTCACCCCCCACCCCCCCACCCAACCCGCTCATTGGTTTGCACGGCAGAAGTGTGCTTTGAAAGGCCATCAAAACGTGTGTGTGTGTGAAGATGTTGACCTTGTCCAATCTGGCAACCCTTTCAGCACTTCAGAGTCGCACTGTCTGGTTGCTAACTGCAACCCACCCCACCCCATCCCCCCCACGCCACCCCATCCTTCATCCTTAAACCCTCCCCATCTGTGTCTGTGTGTGTGTTCTAAAGTGAACCAAAAAATCAGGTGCGTTGTGTTCCAAAGTGATCTCGCTTTTTGCTAACCCTTCCATGTTTTTGTGTGTTTTGTGTTCCAAAGTGACCCATGTTTTGTGTTCCAAAGCGAACTAAAACCCTGTGTTCCAAAGTGAACTAAAACTTGTGTTCTGAAGTGACCCCACATAACCTATATATGCGCTCAACACCTCTCCAACCAGCAACAACAGTTTATATATATTATTTATATTATATAGTTGGTCAGCCCTGCAGCCGGAACAGCTTATGCAATGCAGCAAGGAGTCATCAGTGCTTTGCTGACTGATCGGTGTGCAAATCTGACCCCGGATGCAGTGGTCGAAGCAACCAAGTCCATGCCATACATCATCATAAATCCATGCCAATTCTTTGCTAGGTTCTTTCCTATCTGATTATTTATGTGGCCTTCCTCGATGCAAAATGATTCCGTCAAAAAAAACAGAACCTGATAAGCATCACTACCTCCATACTATACTAAGCCCTACTCTTGTAATATAATATAAGTAGTCAAGTTTCCCTAACAATTTAGGAACCAAATCGTTCGTGCGAGCGCTTCTTCAAGGAAGCTTCCCCCACTGCCTTTTGGGCGGCCGGGTGACTTCGTTGAAGAAGCGTGAGCTATCCTGCGTCCTAAGTAGTAGCTACTTAAGCTACTAGCTACCGCTACCTCTAGCTACTACCTCTACTATCGGCCTATCCCCCGCTGGCTTTAAGACAACATATAATATATACACATATTATATATATATGTATATTTATGACTTTAAAAGGGAAGGTTCTCCGGACTTCCCCGCGCTGGGTAGATCCGCCAGGTCATCCACTCCATCCGCTCCATCCGTTGACGCCACGGGAGGGACCGCGAGACTCACGCATCTCGGAGGTGAAGTGGAAAGGAGCGAAGCGGAGCCGTGGAAAGGAGGGAAGATGAATGAAGATGAATGAAGATGAGGGTGAAGGATATATTAAAGAAGGGAATTGGCATGATTCTCTTCCAAACACAGGGGTCGGAACATGTCGGAACCCGACTTTTTTCGGGAAGTGAGTGGTTTCTATTTGATTTGCGACGGAGCAAATGAGCCCTGCCTTGGCCAACTGTGCCCACAGGCGGTCTGTACTTTGACACGAAACCGGGAATGGCCGATGGCTGTGATTGTGCTGTGCTTTTGGACCGAGAGAGCAACAAACACATGCATAGACTGCATAGTATACTGCATATATACAATATAGATAGGTGGCTTGTTGGTACGTCCGTGTCCTGACAGGAAGTTAAGATTCTAAACGCAACTGCAACGATTCGAGGTGGCCGTGCCAAGCTCCAGAGCCCAAGGCACGGACTGGGGTGCTCCATGTTGCGTCCAAACAACCAGTACCAGCGGTAAACATATTATATAAGCAGCATTACCAAGCTTCAGCTCATATATCGGGACAGCATTTCGGAGACCCAGAGATATCATCCGGAAGTGGTGGTTAAGGTCTATTTGGGTTCCGACTCTTTTAAGCTCTTGATGAGCGTGCTGTTCATCCGCAATGCTCCACCATGTCCATGTTTTTGATGACACGGATTTTCACAACCGTGGAGGCGTTCATCATTTTTGTTGTTTCTTGTACATGTACATGTATACGACGAGTATACGACATGTCTAAGTAGTTGGGGTGGGGTGGGGTGGGGCATGTTAACGTTCCTTTGCACTTGTGTGGGATGTTGATGCTAT